GTGCAGATTCGGGAATCTCCCCAATGTCCTCAGCCATGAAGACTAAAGCAAAGAAATCATTTAGTTTCTCCACAATGGCTTTATCAACCCTGATTGCTCCTTTTATAGCTCGATCATCTAGGGGACCCACTTTAAAGTGCTACATGACTGCTTTTTTTGTTTTACCAATATCAGACTAACACAGATACCTCTCTGTTACTTTTCTCTTAGCTCCCAGATGGCAGCACAAGGATCCCAATTTCCAGCACACTGCGCCTAGTTGGGGACCCCTGGTATCAATGCTCCCCCATCCTTCCTGACTCACATCTGATGCCAACAGTGTGAGTGACTTGGGGGCTCTGTGCCCTGCCCCTTCCTCTGCTGCTGCAGCCTCAGAGCTGCACAGCAGTGAGATTCAGACTGCTTCATTCTGGGCAGCTCTGCTCTAAGCCCCAAGTGACTGTGGACCACCTGTCAGCCATTTGTGCAAGCCACCCAGAGGACTAGAGCAGCAGTGGCTGAAGGTTCATCCTCTCTGAGCCTGCTTCCCTGTCTAGAAGACTGCCTGAATGCTGGTGAGGTGATGGAGGGCTAGGTAGAGGTGAAGAGAGGAAGAGCCCTCAGCCAGCAAGCTGAGAAAGAGGCGTGAAACTCTTGTGGATGGGGTTGAGGAGTAGCCCTGGGTCAGCTACCTGGCCTAGAGAAGAGCTCAAGGGAGGTGTCAGAGAGGACAGCCTGCACTGTGGCCACTGGGTTGCAGCTGAAGGGGAGAAACGGCCAAGCTGGCGGGGCCCTGCTGTGTGTAGGCTTGACACCATTGTGTCTTTGGTGCCATTTTAAGCCGAATATTGTTTTAAAGCAGTGAAAGGGAAGCAGCTGTTTTGGTTGATCAGGTGCAAATGGGCAGACAAAACAGTTAAGCCTACACTAAAAGGCAATAGCCAGCAGAGGGAGTCCTGTGCAGCCAAAGGATAAATTTTGTATTTTGCAGCAGAGGCACACGTACAACAGAGAGTGATACAGTAACGACAGGGCACAGTTAAAAGAATAAAAAATAAAAAGGAAAGAAAATTTTCCTATAGAAATTACCATTCATGTATTAGAAATTCTGGAAGGCTTCAAATTAAATTTTCAAGTCTTCATTGGCCAAGCTATAGTTGGCACTGTCTTTACAGAGGGAGGCTAATGGGAGCAAACACTCTTATCAGCTTCCCTTACTCCTTGCGGCTGCACTGACAAGAGCTGCCCTCAGCTTTTGATTTAGAGTGTCTTAACTAGACCTGCTAAATTGAATGCCAGAAGAGCAATCTCCGGCACGGCAAATGAAGACATGGCCAAAAGTTGTGTCAACCAAAGTCTCCTGAGCTAAGAAGCAGCTGCATTTTTTTCAAAGAATAATTTGGACTTTGTTCCCCATACCCACAATAGGGTCTTATTCTGAAAAAAAAAGAAGGGGAAATAAAAACTGGCAAAGAGCTTAGCTCAAACAGAAGTACAGAGAGGATATTGTTTAATATTTTTAACTCTACCCCAAAGTGTTAGAGGGAAGGCTTTCCATCTATGTACAAATCTAGTGCTATGCGTGCAATTAGACTAAAATTAATTTTGACTATTTATTTCATATTTCCAGGAAAGAAGACTCTCGAGCATCTGATTTCTGGCTGCATACAAAGAAAGTAGACTTAAGCCTCTGTGCTCCACGTGTCCCTACTCTGGGAACACCTATGGTACAGAGGAGGAAGTGGCTCTGTGTATTGCCACCTCTTTTCCCCCTGGGGAAACAGCACTGTGCAGAGCTGCTTCCCCGTAGGCTTATCCCTGCTGCTCCCATAGTGATGGCAGAGAACGCGGAGCCATGTGAGCTCCTGGGAGTGGAGCAGCAGGTAAGTGCTCCATCCCCACACACTCAACTCCACAACACCCTCCTTGGCTTGGCAAAACTTTTAATAAGGCATACCCTGTTTCCCAGGGTTGCCGGATTAAAGCGGTTCAAGTGTATTATCTAAGGCTATGTCTACACAGCAGCCTTATTTCGGAATAACTGATGTTATTCCAAAATAACAGTCCACATCTACACATAAGCAGTTATTTTGACATAATGTCAAAATAATGTTGAGCTGAAGGACTGCTTACTCCGACTCCTGTAACCTTCATTGTATGAAGAGTAAGGGAAGTCGGGGGAAGAGTGCTCTCTCTTGAAATAACTACTGTGTAGACCAGGGCTACTCAACACACGGCCCACAGACTGCATGCGGACCGCGGCCCATTTGTTTGCGGCCTGCAGTGCGGTTTGGGTTTATGCGGGGCTCAACACGTGGCCCGTGGCTGGGATCCTTTGAATATGGCCTCCACTAGGAACATGCTCCCCAAAGGTGAGGCGTCTCCCAAGCAGGGGGAGCACTGAAAGACTCAAGCAGACGAGCTGACTGGAACAGACGGGTACAGGGTATCAGCGTTTCTAGCACCCAGAGTGGAGGTTTCAGGAGCGCTGGGGCATTGTGCGAAGTGCTGGCTGTTTAGCCTTGTGAGCAGAGCCTGAGAGGTGCTGACTGGCTTACACTGGCCACGTTTGCGTCCGGTGCCGTGGCTTTAGGCTTAATCTTTGTATTCATACCCAGCAGGGTGAAAGAAGCTATTTGCATATATATTTGCATGTACATGCAACCACACTTAAGTTGCAGCCCTCGGCATGTGCTGCGAGTATCATTGTGGCCCCCAAGGCTTCCAACACTCCAATGTGGAAACTATATAAACCAAACCACCACCAAAAAAAAAACAAAAAACAAAAAAAAACTACCTTCTGCTAGTGGCATCTGTGTCAGATGATGATAATGAACACGCATTGGTCCACTCTGCTTTGGACTGTTTTTGAGCTGATGAGTCCATCATCAGCATGGACTCATGTCTCCTGGAATGGTGGATGAAGCATGAAGGGACATATGAATCTTTAAGGCATCTGGCATGTAAATGTCTTGCTATGCCAGCTACAAAAGTGCCATGTGAATGCCTGTTCTCACTTTCAGGTGACATTGTGAACGCAGGCAGCATTATCTTCTACAAATATAAACAAACTTGTTTATCTGAGCAGTCAATTGAATAAGAAATATTACTCAGTGGACTTGTAAGTGCTAAAGTTTTACATAATTCTACATTTGTATGTTAAACTTTCATGATAAAGAGATTGCACTGCAGTATTGTATATGGGGAAACAGAAAAATACTACAGGTTGGACCTCCCTGGTCCAGTACACTTGAAACTTGACTGGTCCCGGATGATGGATTTTGCCAGACCAAGGGAGGTCATTTCTGGCCTCCCTGCTCCCAGCCCCCACTGCTGAACTTCTAGCCGGTTCCCCCCTTTCACTGGCCTCCATTGCCCTGTCGGTCCCACTGCCTTGCTAGGCAGCCCTGCCACCTCTGCATGCACTTGACTTCTGCTGCAGTGCTGCCGCCTCTGTGTGCACTAGGCTCCAGCTGCAGCTCCCGGCAGCCCTGCCACCTGGGCTCCAGCTGCAGTGCCCGGCAGCTCCACTGCCTTCATGTTCCTGTACCTGCTGCCATGCTGTGCCTGCCTCTGCGTGGTGGGCTCCCACTGCCCTGCTGGAAAGCCCTCGCTGTCTCCCTGCTCCCCTTTGCAGCCCAGCTGAGCCACACGCTGGCTCCTGGGCCCCCACCTCCCTGTAGTGTGCTAAGACTCTCTGATCATGGAACATCCGAGGTCTTGCCGGACCATGGATGTTGCCAGACCAGAGAATCTGGTTAAGAAAGTTTCAACCTGTATTTTATTTTTTACAATGCATCTATTTGTAATCAAAAGTAAATATAATGTGAATGCTGTAGATTTTTTATTCTGTGACTGAAATCAATATATTTAAAAATGTACAAAACAGCCACAATATTTAATTAAATGGTATTCTACTATTGTTTTACAGTGTGCTTAATTGCACAATTAATCATGACTGATTTTTTCTAACCGCTTTTGTGGAAGGAATAGTAATTTCTCCTTAAGTAATTTCTTCTCCTACAAATTTTTTTAGTTGTATTTAGGAGTAAAGAAGAATATTAACTTCCATCTTTCAGTAGGCTAGTTTTTCCGTGATGTGTCTGAATATAAGGAAAGAATCTCAACAGTATATTACACAAAAATTCTATTGTTTTTCCCCACTTCCACAGGGTACCCAACTATCCTCAAATTATTTCTTCTGATCTGGTCTTTCAGATCATTGATTCTATATTTCAGCTTTTGGATCAGACATGGTTGGTCTGTAGTGATCATAACAAAGACGGTATTGTGTTCTATGGTAGAAAGTTTAATTTCTGTCTTCCTGATTCTGGAAGTAAGCCCCTGCAAATTGATCTGGTGGGTTTCAGTTATGGTTTTAATTTCAGAGATATCCTCTGATATTTGTATTAGGGATGTGAATAGATAACCAGTTAATCTTACTAGGTGATGCTTCCTGATTGCGGTTAACTAATAGGCTGGAGTGATTAACTAATAAACCAGGATTTAACATCCCTAATTTTCATAAGTAGGATCTGTTCTTCAGAAATCTGCTTTTGCATATTGTAGACTTACATCAGGCATACTGTAGACTTGTTTCTCCTTGAACGGTGCCATGCTGCCCTGCACAGGGTTATTAAAGAGCCTCTGATTTTTCACAATTTTTTGTGAGACTGAATGGGGTTCAAAACCAGATCCATCTGTGATTATGATGTTAAAGAGTAGCATGAACTATCCAGAGACAAAAAACTATGGCCTCAGTACCGTGGATGTTGACAGATTTTAATGAGGCTGCTCCAGATGTAGGCAGACATTTTCCCTTGCTGGCTCTTTAAAGCTGGCAGAGAACATATTTAGAGAAAGGCATAAAACCTATTTTCTGGTTATTAAAATAATAATGGAACTCAATTGCTGACAAATCATTGTGGCAATATCATTATTCGTACTTTGTTATAAGACCTTTCAAACGTATTTACTCAACTTATTATTAAACTGCTTCTTTATAACCAATATTAATTTACCTGGATTCTATTAAAATCTTTGGTAGCTGCACAAACAGCTCGTCTGGTTTCAACGTCTATTCTTTGTAGTTCCATGGCCTTTTGATCTAGGTCTATCCTGTTCTTGTCATGGAGATCCTCTAAATTAGATTAAAATGGAATTTAGTTGACATGGTTTATCATCCATGCATATGTCAATGTCATTTTACAGCAGTTGTTTGTTGATATACTATTAGCAAAATATTAAAACAGAAAGCCACCTCATGTATTCCTTTCCAAATTCCATGCCTAAGATTTGTCATCATAGAAAGTTTAAGGAGACAATAAATAAACATATCAAGCAATTCAAGTTAGAAATGTAAAAAAATTAAACAAACTTTGTTGAATACTTGTTTGGTTAAAACTTGCTTGGACAAAGTTAAAAAATATTGTAACTAGCTCTGGAAAACACTTGTTTTCAGGACAGAAACTACATTTTATCTACTGTAAAGTTTTCATAAAAGTATTGCAGATACCTTAACTTCATTGAATCAAATATTTAAAATGCATAGCCTTTTAAAAATTATCCAATCTCTGCATTTCAGGTGAATATGGGAAAAAAGATTAGAAATTCCTGGGATCATCATAAGTTCCCAACACAGACACCCTATCTGAGACATTAAAACAAATTCATTTTGTGAGTCTATAAAAGTTGTCTTTTTAAAGTTAAAATTCCCACAGAACTTTTATGAAATAAGTATTGAATACACTGAAATATTACTATATCACTGCCTGGCATTAATGGGCTATTCTATAGTTTTGCAAATTATTCACAGTAAAATTAGTTTAAAAAAAAGCATTAAAATCAAATTTCTGCCTTCATTTGTTACCTGCAAATTTCTGATCTGCTAATGCATTCTTCCAGTCCCTCTGTTGCTGTAGAGACCATTCTCTTGACTGCTCCTTTTGAAATTTCACCCTCTGATCATGGTTTAAATCTTCTCCTAGAAACTTCTGCAAGCCAGATATAGTACATCGAGGGTCATTGTCAGAGAGGCGAGCAGGAGTACTCTTCTTCAGGGCATGTGGGTCAGATAGATCAAATTCACGCCGAGTTTCTGGCTTCTGAAAATTCTGTTGAAACTCAATGACAGCTTTGTTTAGGTTTTTGATATCCTGTTTTTGTCGTTCTTCTAACATACAGATGATCTTGTCACTTTGCTTCATTTCACCAGCTACAGAAAGATTATAAACAAGGTGAAACAAAGAGTTCAGAATGTACAAGAGATTCTTCATTTTTTACAATGTGATCTTGAAAAAAAGACTAGAAAATAAATCTTTAAACTACTAGCCTCGAGTCATTTAGGAGGTCAAAACTGGTAAATAATTTTTCTAAGTTAACAGTGTTATACAATTATAAAACCTTTAAAATTTTAAAAATCAATTTTGTCACCAGAAACTTGAACAAAATATATAAAGAAGATAAGACTGCTAATAAAATTAGGTTTATTTTACACCATTATGTTGTTGCATATTAATCCTAGATACTGTACAGCAGCAATTCCTCAGCATCTATTACTAATTTCCAGTAGTGACTGAAACACAATTACAAATGATTAAAAACAAAAAAAACAGGCTCCAAAGTTATGTACCACCAATGATATAGATTGAAAAACCCCCACTTCTTTGGGGAGTTTAATATTTCTTCCCTCCAGTTCAAATAGTGCCACTGATCCTGTACTGCCAAGTACACAGTCTAAGCATTTAAATATAATTTCCTGAGTAAATACTATTGCCTCTGTCAGAATGCATGTGTTCTGGAAGTTTCCTGTAGAATCAAATTCTTGCAGATATTGTGAATCAATGCTTGCCAAGAAAATCATGACAAGTAGCAAGCTGAAATTCTGGCAACTCTAGAATCCACAAAGAGGTAACTTGGTGGGCTCTTTCCAAATGAAACCAAAAAAAGGGCATTCCAGACAGGATGCAATCTAGAGGTCGGGGATGTGGGCAACCTGATTATATGTGTATGCCCCCTGACTCAGGAATGACTCTTGGGTTAAGTCTAGACTACATTCCTCTGTCAGCAGAAGGATGTAAATGATGTACTTTGAAAGTGCAAACGAAGCTGGGATTTAAATATCCCACACTTCATTTGCACAATCACGTAATGGTGCTCTTTTGAAAAAGAGCTATTTTGATATTGAAACCGCAGTCTAGACACGGTTCTTTCAAAAACGGGGTGCTTTTTCAAAATTGCATGAAATCTTAGCAGTTACTTGACTATTTGATAGTCCCTGAGGGCAAGTCTGGCAGCCAATGTATCAGAGGTAGCAGCAGGGGGTGGCAGGCAGGAGCCGGTCTGCAAGGGGAGCCATTTTGAAAACAGTATGAGCTCTTCCAGAGAAGGGCTAGTCCAGCAGCAGCTCCTATTGGTGGCCAAAAATAAAATGTGAACAGTTCAGTCCACATAAAACACAGTAAGAAGAAACCGAGAGATCCCAAAACTTAGGTTTAGTTCACCTAAGTCTCAGTTAGTGTCTTTGATCACCAAAGCTGCATAATTTGCTGAGTTTGAACCATCTTCCTTCCATTTGCTTGTAGGAATCCCCTGTTGGAACCCATGACATTCTGCCTCTGCTAGCCAGGTAGCTAACTGATTAACTGTCCGTGGCAGGCCCAGGCTCACTGCAGAGCCCCCCACAGACAGGGACTGCTGCTACAGACCAGCCTACTTCCTGTCAGTCTCCCTGGCCTCTGCTGCTTCTGCTAGAGGCAGCAGCATGCACAGGGGAAGGGGGTTGGTAGCACCATGGAGCTGGTGCAGGGGGAAAACTGGCTTTTAAGCCTGCTCCTCCCAGCACTGGCTTCTGCTTGCCCTCCCTTGCTGCCTCTGTAGGAGGCAGTAAGGGGGGGCAGGCGGGAACCTGCTTGAAAGCTGGCTCCCCATCAGTATCAGCTCCAGCCTGTCTCTCTCATCCTCCATGTTGCTGCCTCTCTATCAGAGGCAGCAGTGTGGGAGGTGGGGTGGGGGAAGCAGGTGGATCTGGTGCTTGTGGGGAGCCTACTTAAAGCCAGCTCCTCACAGGCTCTGGCTCCCCTCCACTTGCTGCTTCTAATACAGAGGCTTCAAGTGGGGTGGGAGTGCATTTTGTTGATAATATTAACCGATAAGCCAAGATTTATTGGTTAATCATGTAGTGGGCTATGCTTTGACATCCATAATTAAGATATGCAACTTCAGCTGCATTAACTGCGTAGCTTAAGTTGAAGTATCTTAACTCGAATTTTGGTGCTGTCCACATTGAAGGAAATCCAAGGGAGCACACTTTCCCTTTGACTTCCCTTATTCTTCGTAGAAACAGGACTACTGGCATCGATGGGAGTGCCCCCTCAGTTCAACTAAGAGTGTCTTCACTAGACCCACTAATTCAAGCCCTAAAACATTGACCGAAGCTGCTTCTGTCTTATCTTATTGATAGTGTAGACCTGGCCTAGAAGGGTTAGTGTAATGCATGTGCTTCAGTGACACAGATTCTATTAATATTAGCAGAACTGTACAGCCTTCTCCAAGTAAATGTATGAGTACTTTACACCATGCTCCCAGGATCAGATTACTTAAAATACTCTTGTCTAATGGCATGTAGCATGTACATAATAGAAAAAAATACAAGTACAAAAGGTGGGCTAACCCTTAAGACCTTATTGATAGAAAACTCCCATGGACTTTTGTGGAAGTTTCACCTAAGTAGGTATGACAACAGTTATCCAGTGTGCAAAAAAAGCTGTTTTCCCTCTTAAGACAGATATTGTTTCAAGAGTTATTTACAAAAATAAATAGATTATATTTTCTACGTGTAAGAGAAAAACATAATCATGTCAACCTTCGTTCCACAATAGCAAATGCCAGGAAAGGACTGTTGGAAACACTTCTAAAAGGGGAATATAGTGAGCAAATATGACAAAACATGGTAAAAATGTTTACATATACTAATTTTAAATTGTATTATGTATATGACAATACCAATTGTTTCATGACGTGCTCTCTCATTTGCCTCTTGAATCTTCTTATCATTGATTTGAACATCCAAAGCATTCTTATCAACCTATTACAATGAAAACAAACTCTGTAAAAATTATTTATTCTATTGAAAATATTTAAATTGTGTTTACAGGCTTTTGGCCAACCTTGTATATTAAAATATCCACTTGAATCAGAAATGAATGTATTTGCCCATCAAAACTATTCTATTCAGCTGTGAATTATGTTAGTATCAGTGAAATAGATTTAATGGTAAATTACAGGCACCTTAAAGTATGTGGCTGCTGAAAGAAAATCCCATAATAATATTTCTGTTTTTCACTTCATTCTAATAGCAACAAGTACATTCTTATTCCGAAACAATATGTTACAAGGTTAAGTTGAGCTCCAATATATTAGCTGAAATATTTCTTCCACTTTAGAGGGCATTCCTATTGATTTTACTTAACTTTCATCCATTTACATATATTAAATAGTTGTAAAGCTTTTTGACATGCACACTGTAATAGTTATAATAGATTTTAATTGTAAAAATAGCTTGTTCATTTCTGTAAAATATACCATTTAGCTTCCAACCTCTATTAGGCTATGTCTACACTACACTGCTCTTCCGGAAAAAGCGATGCAACTTGTGAACCACAATTTGCGTAGCTTTTTCCGCTTCTTTTTTCGTAAGAGGCTTGTCTGATATTTGGCCTCTTGACACAGAAGCCATAGAATAATAAATCAAATTCAAAACCTTGCAATATTGGTTTCTAAATAGAAACTAAGTTAGGAGAACATATTTGGTTAATAAAGTTCTTCACAATTTCAATAACAAGGAACAAAAAATCATGTCTCCTTTGATAGATTCTGGACAGAAAATAAACAAACGAAGACTGAACAGATTGCATACATTTTGAATGACTGCACTAGCCGTATACTTTCTCTGAACAGTTTTTTCTTTTCCAGAAAATATCCAGAAAAGAATTGCTCCATATCACACAGCTCTTTAGTACTTGTCTGAATAGTCCAGAATCCCAAACTGAGAGCATGTGAAATGATAGTTATTCTACTAGCAGTATGCAAGATATCAATAGCACTGAAGTGATGAATTATTTGCTATACTGAGGCATCCAACTGTTTTTTTTAATCTGTCCTTATAATCTTTATTTGTAATGTTATACTTTATTTGTACATACACATACAGTGTATAAAGTAGCGAATATTCTTTTTTGATCAGATGTGTATTTGCATTCTTTTCAGAAATTACTGATTCTGAGAAGAATAAACTTTTAAATTAGCTGTTCATTAAATGAAAAAGCTAAATATCTCACAGAATGTTCAAAAGACTGGTGAGCATTAACCCCATATTGCAAATGAGGTAATGTGTGCATAGAGAGAGAAAGCGATTTAAATTAAAAATCTTACTGTAAGTTAATAACAGTTAAGACTAGAAATAAGGTCCCCTGACTCCCATTCCCATGTCAGTGAACCGTTCTTTACATTCACTGTACTTTTTTACTCGGTCTCTGTTCCAACATTTGTGGATGTTCAGAAGTCAGATATTGGCTTTCTTCAAATTTCTTTAGAATTGGTAGGTAAATAGAGCAGATAATATTAAAATCTGTGCCTGTGTATAGTATATGAACACTTAAAAATGTGCCAGGAAACACAAAATTACTGTATATTTTGTAGGCTTGTAGGATCTTTCAACTTTATGCTATGCTTAATTTCAAAGCACAGGACAACCCCTACTCCGAATGTTATCTTTCAGAAGTTGAGTATAGTACACTATTTTAATTAAAACCAACAATATTCATACAATCCTTTGGTAGGTTTATTTTTCAATACTTATGTTCTTCTTTCCTGCAAATTGATTCAATGTACTAGTGCAAAAGTGTTTGGGCAAGATCCTCAGATGGTATAAATCAGTTTATAGTTCCATTATGTGGAAATATATAGTTTTACATCAGCTGCGGATTTATTCCTTTGAGTTCAATTATTGAAAACATGTGATGGGGTACATATGCGCTGGCAAAAGCCAAATGATGAATGTCCCCGTGGAAGAAATTTGTCTTTAGTTGGTGTGGGCAGACTTTATTATAGTTGCCTGTTACAAGATTTCTTGCATCCTCCTCCAAAGCACCTGGCATTGGTCATTACTGGTGACAGGAGAGTGAATTGGATGGACCACCAATCTATCTCATTCTCTTGCAACTAATGCAGGCCTGGGAAAAATTCCCTGCACAGGCCCAATCCAGCCCTAAATGTCAGAAGGGCGTGCTGTTGTACAGGTGATCCGTGATTCGTGACACATGCTGCTAGAGCCAGCCTGCCGACTCCCTGCCTGCTGCTGAGAAATATAGCCCTTGTAGGGCTGTTTGAACAGCTGTAAGCCCAGGGAAGGAGGAAAGGGTTGGCATGCTTCTCCCGCGCAATCCCATTGGCTGGTTCCTGGCCAATGGGGGAGCTGCCTGTTGTCAATAGGCAGCTTGGGAAGCACCCTTCCCTCCTCCCCTCAGGCTGATAGCTGTTCAGAAACCACGTGGCCCTGCAGCCAGGCCAGGATGGGGCAGGCAGGGAGTCTGCTTGGGATGGGGGCGGCCAGGGATTCTGCTTGGGATGGCTGCTGGCTGGGAGTAAAGCAAGTAAGTCTCCCAGCCAGAGCCTGCTTCTGGCATCCTAACCCTTTGCCTTCCTACCCCACATAACCTAAACCCTCTGCCCCCCACCTACCTCCATTTCCCCTCCCAGATCCTGCATCCCAATTTGCTGCCCCAGGTCACATTCCCCTCTTGTCCTAGGTCACAGTCCCCTCCTGTCCTAGGTCACAACCCAAACCCTCTGCATCTCACCTGAATCCCTACCCCACATAACCCAAACACTCTGCCCTCTTATCTTCTCCCATATCCTGCATCCCAATCTCCTGCCCAGGTCACAACCCAAACCTTCTGCTACCTCCCCTCCTACATCCATATCTCTTCCCAGATCCTGCACCTCAATCTCCTGCCTCACGTCACAACCCAAACCCCTGCACTCCAGTAGCCTGCTTCAAGACGCAACCCCTCCTGTCCTAGGCCAAAGACCAAATCCCTCCACTCCCCTCCTGCACCGTAGTCCCCTAAACCAGGTCACAACTGCCTCCTTCGGCCAAACTCCCTCCCAGACCCCACATCCTCTCTCCACCCCAATCCCTTACTGCAAGCTCCCTTCTGTACCCAACCTACATCCCAGACCCCGTACCTCTGCCATTATATGGAAGAGTGCAGCCCTTGACCACTTTCCAAATTTTTGGAGTGTCCCCCCCCCATCAAAAATTATTGCTCACCCTGAACTGTAGAAAAACGGTCTTAGGGATTTATTGAAAATCCAGGGATTTATTGAAAATCAGGGTTAAATTATTCTTCTAATGACACATGGATAGTAAAAAAAATGCAATCCCAACACTCTATGGATCCAATTCAATCCAGTTTGTAAATAGGTCTAATCCACAAGTCAGTGGACTGGATCTGCTTTCACCAATTCTCAATCTAGTTTGATATGTTACTAATATAAAATTATTCATACAATATTAACACTGAATATTGTAAATTCTATAGTATATCTGAGGATCTCAAAGGAGTAAAAACATAATTTAGCATCACTGCATTTCTGTAAGTGAGGATACGTCTACACTACAGTGCTAATTCGAACTAACTTAGTTCGAATTAGTTAATTCGAACTAAGCTAATTCCAACTAACGCGTCTAGAACTAAAAACTAGTTCGAATTAGCGTTTTGCTAATTCGAACTAGCATGTCCACATTAAGTGGACCCTGAACCGGGCTTAAGGATGGCCGGAAGCAGTGCCGGCAGGGCATCAGAGGAGGACTTAGAGTGTGGAGATGCTGTCTCAGGCTAGCCGAGGGCTGCGCTTAAAGGGTCCCGACCCCCACCCCGGACAGACAGTTCTCAGGGGTGCCCCGCTTGCAAACGAGTCCTGGCTTGGAGTGCCCTAAGTGCCCACACTGGGCACAACACAGCACTCGGCCATCAGACCGGCTGCACTTGCCACAGGCTGCCATCTGGGGAGAGGGGGCAATTGGGGGGCTGCAGGATAGGTTCCACCCCCAGAAGCCCACAGAGCCAGCCCAGTCCTCCCTATCGGGGGCTCGTACCCCATTCTTCCCTCACCTCCTTCCACTTACCCCTCCCTAGTCCCCCTTCCTGATGTACAAAATAAAGGAAAATTGTGTTCAAAAATAGAATCTCTCTTTATTG